TGAGTTTAGCATCCGCCATGCCGACGACGGCATTCCCGGAACAGACAGCTGGTTTGACCCCCGCCGTGTAGATCTTGCCGATCCTGGATTTCTCCCTGGGGAGGGCCCCTCGATGCCGCTGGAGGACCCTATGCCGCCTGAGCATTCCCGCAAGCCGCTGTCTGTTTTTTTTGAAGGGACCCTTAGTCCCTCGACGGCCCCCTGGGGCAAGTCGCACCCGAAGGACACCATGTGGGCACTGACTTCGCCCGCCAGAATTCCAAGGCGTTTCCCCGAGGCGACGAGCGATGCCCCCATTGGAACCGAAAATCATCGACTTATCTGGAGCAAGGTTGACCCCGAGCTCCTTGGTAAGACAGCGTGCAAATCCTGTGCAGCGCCCTCAAAAACATCAAGCACCGCGTCGGGCTCGCCGCGGCAACTACCCGCGTCGTCATCAATGTGCGACGCCAGTTCCACAGTAGGGTGACGACGCACGAAGCCGTCGAAGGGCCCCGGCGCGTACGCGCATGCGAAAATATCATTGAAACAAGAACCTGCTGGCAAACCATTGTTCGCATACGGAGGCGCCGAACTGCGGTCCGCTCCGAGCCGAGGAAGCGCGGGCCTCGCCAAACATTGAACATAAATTCGATCACGATCGGGTTAAGGCCTGCTCGGTGGCCCCGCTCTTATGAGACCACCAGGTCGAAGGTTTCATGATGAATGGACCCGTCCCAAGAGATGCCCGCCGTGACACCCCCTTCGGCAAAATAGCTTCCGCCTTGACCGCCTGGTTCCACATGCTACTTTCCGCCGGCTTCCCCGCCCCGAAAGCCCAGTACTTACGGGGGTGATCCACGTTGGGGGCGTTGGCGACGGGTCGACGGAGCTGCCCCCATAAGCGCGCGGAAGTAGCACACAGCAGCACAGGCCTCAGCCCACCCAACGGCTTCTCGAGTGGGGGGGGCCATCCAATACACAGCCTTGGGAAACGCCCCGATCTTTTCAACCGTTTGAAAAATGCACACCAAGGCACTAAGCCCGTCGTCGGACACACACGAGAAATGTCTGACATACATCCCGCCCAGCGACTGCGCCGCGCGTGGGGAAACACCCTTAGACGCAGCCCTGAATGCATCAGGAGTGAGCCTGTCTAGACAAGGGCGATCTGGGACCTCCAAAAGGGCAGGGGCGGTGCGAGCGTTGCAGAACCCCCCGGGGACATCATGCCAAGCGCATTCTGGGGTCCGCCGAGAAAGTGCCAGGAGCGGTTTCAATCGCCGTCGGTTGTCACTCGGCCTTCAACCTCGTCAGGCGGTGCATCTTGCGGGCCGAGCCCGAAAGGGCTTCCTGCTGCCACTGACCCCAACTGAGCCAGGCCTTCTGGTCAAAGTCTTTCCTAGCATTGTTAAAATCGCTATCCCGCTCCTCCAGGGCCTGGGGGCGCCGGTCTATCCAGCTCGCGAGGCCCTCTGGGAGTTGGGGCTTCTCGCCAGCCAGCCGCCGCGCAGCCTGCGCCGCGACGTCAGGGCGAGTGGAAATCCCCTCGGCATCGAAAGGTTGTCAAAGGATGGCTGCCAATTGTTCGCGGCGCCGACCTCAGCGCGGTTCCATCGCACTATCGGCCTTGGCCAAAATGCACTGAGAGGTCTCGCAGAGATCTCCCGACCCCTGCCTAAGCCAAAATCCACCCCTCAGCCACCCTAACATCCTTTTCTTTCTTGTTACGGGAAGGGGTCAACACCGGAACCCATTCGGGAGAAGGCCGGCGCCCCTCGAGGCCCTCCTTCTTGCCGGGGGTGCCCAGTCGAGCCTCCAGTTCGAGCTCCACAACATCAGAACAAATCACGGCTTCCCCCATCACTTACCAAACGGCGGCAACGTCATCAGCATCGGCCATCCCGTCGGTCTCCTCGGCCACAGCTCGAGCCGCGGTCCAATCGGCAGGGGCGGGGGTGGGCCCGGAAAGAAGGGACGTGGGAAGCCTCTGGTGCGACATGAGCACAAGTTGCTGCAAGTTCACAGCCCCCGGCCTGAGACGCAGCCGAACTGGGCGGCGGGCCCTCTTCGGCCACTTGGCCTCGAGCGTCGTGCTCTCGACAAGCTTGCCGAATGCCGCCGACGTCAAAAAGTAATCGATCGTGCTGTTGGACTGGGCCGCCGCGCAAGCCCCCGCAGCAGGCCGTTAGATAATCGCCCCCGCCCTTCGCGGCATCCCTGAGGCCTCCAACAAACATGGCGGTAGGTTCCAGTCGGCCCCGCTGAGGGCCAAGTGAGAGCCTTCCGAAACTTCGCCCATCATTTTGAGGATGTGTAGGTTGCGCTGCGATAATCCTTCACTGGTGTGGAGATAAGCGCAGCCAGCCAAAATCGGCGGCCGGCCCGGGATATCAACGCATCGCGAACATCAGCCGCCGCGGCACCACGACGCCTCTAGGCAGCGAATCTGGCCAGCGAAGTCCGACTGTGACACGGGCGAAGATACCAATCCCCGCGGAGAACTGACCTGCTTCACGGGGCCTCGAAGGCGCGCGCAACATGTTCCACCCAAGCGAACGCGTTGAACTGGCTCTGGCTCCGACATCCTCCTCCGTGAAACCATTTTTCTGAGCGAAGATGACTAAGGCCGCGCTTTGCCCCGGACGATCCCTGAGTGCCCCAGCTGTTCCCGCTATAACTTCAAGCAGGTGAGAAACGCTTTCCCTATCGCCACGCAGGGGGGCGGGTTGCGGCGGACTGCCTGCGCCGGGAGCAGAAATGCGCGTGCCTGAGCAAAGAGGCCCCGCTGGCGGCCCAACCTTCTCGCCCAAGCTGGAAACCGAAAAAGTTACGGGCCTCGCTGAACTACCCCAGCGCAGACGCGCGATGAGGCCAGGCATCATCTGGACACGTCCTGGCATCCTCAGGGCCCGACGAACCCGAGGCATAGTTGTTTTCCCCGCACGCAGCAAAAAGGTCTGGACAAAGGACTCGTCGGAATTGCTCCGTCGCCTCGACCTTCGGCAACGACGCTTGGATCACCTTGCTGCAACACGTCGAGCAGGTACCACTGGATGCGCACGTCCACGCAGCGCTGCACCACCCAATCGAGCCCGCAAAGCTAGCCGTAGAACAGAATCGCTCCATCAGGTAACTCCCCCGCAGGCCGGCATCAATCTGAATTAAGACCCTCGTCTTGAAGCCCGCGATGGTCGTCGGCATCCGTGGTGCCCTGAGGTCGACTCCGATTGCTAAAGGGTCGCCTTTTGGGGCTTCTCGCGGGGCACTTGGCTGAGCGCCTCCAAGATCGCGCGCTTGTCACCCTCGTGCTTATCCCAAAATGCTTCAGCTGCCTTCGCGTCGGCGAAGGCGCCATCCAAGCCCATGCCTTTAGGGGGAGGCACTTGCGCTGGAGAAGGTGCCGACTCACAGCCACGCTTCTCCAATCACAAGTGCTTAAACTCCTTGAAGATCTCGGACTCAAGCATCTTCCTGAACGCCTCCTTTCCTTCAAGCGCATCAGGTGGTAGATCGAGGGAAGGGCTGGCGGCGTCCTTCGGCAATGACGTGTACAGCTGCTTCTGAAGGGCCGCCACCTCCGCCTCGGTCGCCATCTTCTTGGCCGCCAACTCCTGCTTGCGTTGTTGGATATCGGCCAAGATATTGTCCTGCTCCTCAATGTCCTCAACAATTTTGCCCAGCCTGCTCGTCGCTCTCGCCAGCTTGTGCCCGACGTTGGCGCGCTGCGTGAGCGACGACTTGCGGCCTTCCATCTTGGCGCGTACCTCCTTGAGCTTGTTATCCAAGGAGGTCCGCGCTTCGGCCATGAGGTCGCCCTTGCATGATCGAGTGGCGTTCTCCAACTCCCTCGCCTGCTGCTGATCGGCGTCGGCCTCATCACCTGATGCCCCGCCGCCGCCCTGGGCCGCCTGGTTGCCACCAGTAGCTGGCTGTCCGCAGGCTTGGGCCCTGCAGGCGGCTGGCCTCCAGACTTGAGCAACGTATCAATCTGCCTCTGCAAGGTCGCCAATTGCTGCTCGAGTTTGGCTTCCTTACGCGTGTCAGCTCCAGGAAGACGCGACTGCCCACGGCCACCTGCAGGAGGACCATGCTCATCAGCGCTGAAACTTCTGGCACGGGCCAGCACATACTGCGGCGCTGAGACACCACAGCGGCACCGCAGCCTGCACAGCCAGTTCGATGTACGCCCACATTGTTGGCAGCCCCAGAAAAGGCGCCTTGGGTCCTTTTGACCAAATCTTCACCCATTGACGGCCCCACTTCGCACCGACACGCCTGGTGCTCAGGTCGAGCAAGAAATAATGCTCCGACAGGAACTCACAAAAAGCAATGAGCCACCAAGGCTCGCAACAGCATTTGGCCGTTTCGAAGAAGCATGTTGCTGCAAGCTCAGAACAAATCTGAACCGAAACGGCTGGGCAGAGGAGGGGGGAGGACGAGGAGGAGAAGGAGGAGAAGGAGGAGCAGGAGGAGGAGGAGGAGGAGGAGAAGGAGAAAGAGGAGAAAGGGACAACGCGGAGCAGGAAGTGGCGGGCGGAGGAAGGAAGGGGGGGAAGAGGAGGAGGAGGAAGAGGAGGAGGAGGAGGAGGATCGAGGCAAAGTAAAGCAGTCAGCTGTCGGACCCAATGTCCCCCCCTACTCACGAGACCGAAACGGTTTGGATCGAAGCAGCTGCAACTACTGATGCAGAAGCAGGGCTCCCCACACAATGAAAGCCCCGGTGGGCAGGGGGAAACGCACCAGCCTGGAGACGGCCCCAGGAGGGCGGAGGAGGGAGGGAGGAAACGATGGGCTCGAGAACACTACATCGTACAGTGGGGACCCGACCACAAGAGACCTTCCACAAGAAACCCAACCCTGAGACCCCAGGACGTCCATGGATCTTTGGTGTGGGAACGTCACGCTCCCCACAGCATGCCCAGGGCACCCTGGAGGCAAGCAGGGTGTTGTTTGGCTTGGCCCCCCACTGTCGAAGATCTGGTCCTGCGGCCACGGGACGTTCGGCAACGCCCGCTGTCCTCGGGGGCCCTGGCGGCCGACCCCTCCGCCTCGGCGGCCTCCGCCGAGGCCGCGGCGGCCTCCGCCTTGGCGGCGGCCTCGGCGCTGCACGCCTCGCACATGCACCAGGCGCAGAGGTCGCAGCCCCAAAGGCCTTCGCCCTCGGCGAGGCTCCTCGAGCAGACGCTGCAGGAGATGCCGTCGCACGGCGCCGTCTCCTCGGGGGCCCATGGCACGGCACGAGCAGAGACGCATCACCAAACGTATCAGGGCTCAGCGCGGATGTCGTGGGCATGGGTCGGCGTGTGACCCCCGCACTACGGAGGTTCGGGGACATAGAGGGGTGTTGCATGCCTGGACGTGTCATACATGTAGACGGCTGTGCGGTAAATGTAAATGTTCGATCTATATATATTATTATATATTATATATATATATATATATATTATATATATATAATGTCTCTCTCTGACTCCAGCTCTATCTCTCTCTATGTCTCGATATCCTTATTTCTCTCTCTCTCTCTCGATTGCTCTCTGGCTCTCTCTCTCTCTCTCTCTCTCTCTCTTTCTCTCTATAGATTTCTTCCAGCGCAATTTGTCGGAGAGGGGGGGGATTGGAAAAGGAAGGCAACTCGCAAAAAATCACTAACCAAGACACGAACACTTTGAAAGTCTGGCTACCCGCCAGGCCCGAAACACAAACCCTGGACTGGGGCAGCGGCACCGATGCAGATGACGCAGAATCGATGCATGGGAATCCCGCCTGTCTAGGACCGGCCTTTGGAGGATGCGGCAAGGAGGAGCAGGAGGAGGAGGAGGAGGAGTGACGTACCCAGCAACTTCGCGCCACCAGCCAAAACAAAGCATGGAGACAGCTCGCATCTCCATCTGACGTTGGAAACTCATCGAGCTCGAATTGCAAGCGGGGCGCGGAGGAGGGAGGAGGACGACGACGAGAAGAGTAAGGCAAGGAGGCGGCGGGTAATGACAACCGAACTAAGCGGGAGAAATGCCTTAGAGGAAACGTACTTCCCAGGCATCCGAATGCGGTCCGACCGCGTATGAGAATGGCCAAGTTGTTACCGTACGCTGCCGGTTACACAGCACAGTGCGGATTCGTGGCGACTCCCTGGCCAGGGTGCGGCTGGCGAGACCCCATCACAAGCCACCTCCGCCTGCACCGGAGCAGGCGCCATTGACTGCCCGGAGAAGAGGCTGTTTCTTTCCAGCTGTAAATAAACACATGTAAGACTCCCGGGTTACGGGCTATTTCTGTCCACCTGTACATGAACACAAACATAGTAATGTACGTATCGACATGACTATATATATATATACACACATATGTATATATATATATATATATAGAACCACCGCACGCTTTTCGCGCGCGCTCAGGTTCTAGCAGACCCCAGGCCTTGACGAGTGCCCTGTTCCACTGAAGAAAATGGACTACATATGGTTTGAGCGGGAAGAAAAATTGCCCACAACGCTGAAAGTAGTATGGGCAGTAAGAAGTCTATGCGTGTCAATCCGCATTGTGGAAGGCTTTCGGGGAGGATGGCTGCGTAGGGGGGCGGAGGCCTGATTAACCGGCTTCCCAAAAGGCATTGCGGGAACACGGGTTTGGGGGGCGTCTTGGGGTGCCTGCTGGGGCGTGCCGTCGTCGCAGTCGTCGTCGTCGCAATGTCGTCGTCGCCTCTTTGGGCGCGCCGTCGTCGTCGTCGTCGTCGTCGTCGTCTTCGTCGTTTCGTCGTCGTCGGTTCAAGAGGGCATTTGGGGCAACTTTGATCCCGGATGGTAAGGGATGGGGGGAGGGGTAGGGCGTTAGATATGACGCGAGCGCACCTAATTAGCTCGTCCTCCTCCCGACCCCCCTCCTCCCAGTCCTCCTACTCCCGCTCCTCCTCCCATGCGCCGGGCCCGGCATGGTATCGAAATTGCCTTCGCAGACTTTCCGCCGCCCGTGCCTCTTGGGCCCTCTTTGGGGCCTTTTTAGGGGCTCTTAATCGCCCCTTGGAAGCCTTTTGGGGGCCTTTGGGGGCCCTGTTGGGGGCCTTTGTGGGGCCTCTTGGGGGCGTAAGGCTCGGATTCTGGGTTCGGGCTGCCCATCTTGGACCCCTCTTGGGGCTGTCTTGGGGCCCTCCTGGGCCGTCTTGGGAGTTTTTCCCAACCATCCTGTAGGGTTGGGTCCTCGTTTTGAAGAGACGGTGCCCCGCGTTCCCCTCCTTCCTCCTCCTCCCCCTCCTCCCTCCTCCCCCTCCTTGCCTCTGCTCTCGGCACACCTCTCACGCGTTTCGTAGCCCCATAGGGAGCTCCACCGAAGGCCCCAGTGGGGGTGTTCGCATGCGGTTCCCCCACCCAGGGCAGCGTTTCGTGGCCCCATAGGGAGCTCCACCGAAGGCCCCAGTGGGGGTGTTCGCATGCGGTTCCCCCACCCAGGGCAGCGTTTCGTGGCCCCATAGGGAGCTCCACCGAAGGCCCCAGTGGGGGTGTTCGCATGCGGTTGTAGCCCCATAGGGAGCTTGGGGGTGTTCGCATGCGGTTCCCCCACCCAGGGCAGCGTTTCGTGGCCCCATAGGGAGCTCCACCGAAGGCCCCAGTGGGGGTGTTCGCATGCGGTTCCCCCACCCAGGGCAGCGTTTCGTAGCCCCATAGGGAGCTCCACCGAAGGCCCCAGTGGGGGTGTTCGCATGCGGTTCCCCCACCCAGGGCAGCGTTTCGTGGCCCCATAGGGAGCTCCACCGAAGGCCCCAGTGGGGGTGTTCGCATGCGGTTCCCCCACCCAGGGCAGCGTTTCGTGGCCCCATAGGGAGCTCCACCGAAGGCCCCAGTGGGGGTGTTCGCATGCGGTTCCCCCACCCAGGGCAGCGTTTCGTTTCGTAGCCCCATAGGGAGCTCCACCGAAGGCCCCAGTGGGGGTGTTCGCATGCGGTTCCCCCACCCAGGGCAGCGTTTCGTGGCCCCATAGGGAGCTCCACCGAAGGCCCCAGTGGGGGTGTTCGCATGCGGTTCCCCCACCCAGGGCAGCGTTTCGTGCCCCATAGGGAGCTCCACCGAAGGCCCCAGTGGGGGTGTTCGCATGCGGTTCCCCCACCCAGGGCAGCGTTTCGTGGCCCCATAGGGAGCTCCACCGAAGGCCCCAGTGGGGGTGTTCGCATGCGGTTCCCCCACCCAGGGCAGCGTTTCGTGGCCCCATAGGGAGCTCCACCGAAGGCCCCAGTGGGGGTGTTCGCATGCGGTTCCCCCACCCAGGGCAGCGTTTCGTGGCCCCATAGGGAGCTCCACCGAAGGCCCCAGTGGGGGTGTTCGCATGCGGTTCCCCCACCCAGGGCAGCGTTTCGTAGCCCCATAGGGAGCTCCACCGAAGGCCCCAGTGGGGGTGTTCGCATGCGGTTCCCCCACCCAGGGCAGCGTTTCGTGGCCCCATAGGGAGCTCCACCGAAGGCCCCAGTGGGGGTGTTCGCATGCGGTTCCCCCACCCAGGGCAGCGTTTCGTAGCCCCATAGGGAGCTCCACCGAAGGCCCCAGTGGGGGTGTTCGCATGCGGTTCCCCCACCCAGGGCAGCGTTTCGTGGCCCCATAGGGAGCTCCACCGAAGGCCCCAGTGGGGGTGTTCGCATGCGGTTCCCCCACCCAGGGCAGCGTTTCGTGGCCCCATAGGGAGCTCCACCGAAGGCCCCAGTGGGGGTGTTCGCATGCGGTTCCCCCACCCAGGGCAGCGTTTCGTGGCCCCATAGGGAGCTCCACCGGAGGCCCCAGTGGCTGCTCTCGCATGCGGTTCCCCCACCCAGGGCAGCGCTTCGTGGCCCCATGGGGAGCTCCACCGAAAGCCCCCGTGGCGCAGTTCGCATGCGCTTCCCCCGCCCAGGGCAGCGTTTCGTGGCACCATAGGGAGCTCCACCGAAGGCCCCAGTGGCGCAGTTCGCAGGCGGTTCCCCCACCCAGGGCAGCGCTTCGTAGCCCCATAGGGAGCTCCACCGAAGGCCCGCCCCGGTGGCGCAGTCCGCCTGCGGTTCCCCCATCCAAGGCAGCGCTTCGTGGCCTCATGAAGCCCGACCGAAAGCGGCACCCACAACGCGTTACCAACAATTGCTTATGGTTGGGTCTTTCGCCAGGATAATTTGGGCCGTCTTGGCGCCCTCTTGGGCCGTCGTGGGCGCCTCTTGGGAACCTCTTGGGCCGTCTTGGGGCGATCGTAGGGGTCTCTTCGACCGTCGTCAACGCCGCGAATGCAGAAAGAATGTATCTGCTGAAAATACGCGTTTCCCGATGGAAGATCAATGATTTTTGCCTCTTGGCGCCATTTTGGGGTGCCTCCTGAAGGCCTCTTGGGCCGTCTTTGGAAACCTCTGGAGCTGTCGTGGAGCGTCTTGGGTTTTTTTGTTTGCCGTTTTGGCGCCATCTTGGGCTGCCCGGCATCCCAATAGAAGCGCCAGAGGCCTCGGGGAGGGTCCGGGGACGCCCCAGGGACGCCCCGGGCTTCCAGGAAAGCCGCCGGGGGGGGGGGACCGAAATACAAGGCAACTCTGTTGTGCCGCAGCAACGATAGTCCCAGTGCGAGAGGAGATGCCATCTCAAGCAATAGGAATATCCTCTTGGTCTCGATAAGGATTGTGTGCTTTGCAGTGAGGCGCAATCATATTTGGGCGGCCGGCCGCTTGAGCCGACGCGGCCGCGGGCGCACGCTCGCTTCCACTCCTTACGTCCCGCTTTAGAATCAGGGGGGAGGGAGACGAAGCGCGAGCCCGTCGCCCCTGTACAGCACGCATAGCAGCTAACATACAAGGACAGAAAAGGAAGCGGGCCTAAAGGAAGGTGGACCCGCTAGCAAGCTGCCTCGCATGTATGCGACGTACTCATCAGGCGGCGTCAGAACTTGATGTCTGGCGAGCCCGATATGGAGTATGTCTCTCCATGTCATGTTTGAAGGTCTGTATACCTCCCCTGCCTTGCAGGGGCCTTTCTCTGTCGATTTCCCCCTTGGTGTGTCCATCCGCAGTCATATCGCGGGTATCACACCACTGGATGCTCTGCGCGATTCCACGCTCCATCATCTGTCGTATCCACCTGATGTGTCCTACGAGGGTACATTCAGTCGGCTTCTTCAAGCCTTTGCTTGACAAGGACTTAAAAACATATGCAGCATCGATTGTCAAAGTAATCTTGGTGCTCAGGCCACCCAACTCAAGCACATATTCCAACTGAGTGGGAGT